GGCTGGGGCCAGGCTGTTTAGGGAGGCACAGCCTTCCCTACCCAGCCCTCCATACGGTTCGGGACGCCGATGGGGAACTGGAGCGGAGCAGTTTGCCCACCCCTGGACTAGATGCACTGTAAAGGGAATAATTTACCACAACCTTTAAGGGGGGCAGCCTACATCCCTCTTCATGCAGCCAGCCAGCTTTTCTGCTGAGTTGTTTCCAGGGAATGGCCATGTTGGTTGTAGTCCCTGCATAGCCAGGTGCCGGGGCTGAGATGGCCCTTATACAGGACATACCAAATGGAGCAGGGAGCAATTACTGTCCATTCCCCACTGCAGGGCCTCTGAAGGGCAGCGTACATCTAGCCCAAGGTGTTTCAACTTGACAACGGGGCCTGATCACTCCATACTGTCTTGTCATACTGTGGGTGCAGTCCTTAGGCCCAGGAAGTTACACATCCCAGATAAACATAAGACCATCAAGTCTGGAATACCACCTAACAATTATTGAGTCTTTGAACTCAAAGTATTATCCATTAGAGAGACAAAGGGCAACTTTTTCAAACATATTTAGGCACCTAAAGATGAAAACAGAAGTCACATGAAATCAATAGGAGTTAGGTGCTCAACCTGCTTAGGCCCTATTGAAAATCCCACTAGATACATATCTGTATGCTTAGGTGCCTAAATACCCTTGAAAATCTGGCCCAGAGTCCTTTAACCAAAGTCCTTTTCATGCTCCAGTGCAGAACGCCTCAACCCTGATAGGCGATTATACAAACTGCTTAGTTTCCTCAAGTTCCAGTCATGACCTTAGTTTTATTTTATTCCATCTAAATCAGTTAATATAAATGATGGTAACTAAGAAAAAAATATTAAAAGTATTAGATTTTTTTGACAAAACATTTCAGTGTAGAAGTTCCTCCATTTTTTGATTTATTAGAAGGATATATATTTGGTTGGACTATCAAGCACTTCACTTTTTTGATTGTTGATTTTTATTTTATTATTGGAGTTTGACTGACTGATGAGGTAACGTCAGCTTTCAGAACTCACAATGGACTGAGGACAGAGTATAAAGGGAAGTGTACACCTACTATACTACAGTGAAGATCTTTAGCAGTAACTGGAGTAGGCTGAAAACTGTGAAGACAACAGACCATACAGATAGGGAAATATTAGCCGAGAAAGAGCAAACAGACCAATGATCAGATACTCTACCTAGACTTGAATTGCCTTTTGCAATAGTGATAGTCTTCTCATGCATGTTTTCAGGTGTATTTTGGATTGTGGAACTTCCCTCAGTAGTAGATGTCAGGTAGCTCTTTTCCATTAAATACACTGGATCCTAATACAAAGAAAAACATTTCAATTCAAAACAGCAAGTTCAAAATATGACTGAACTTCATGGATGTAAAAATCACAAATATTTGACAAAAAGCCAAGCTTTAAGAATAACAACCACAGTTGCCAACTTTCATGCGGTAAATAAGCACCCCGACTTCCACAAAAAGCCAAAAATCATGCGAATCCCATTTCAAAATAAGGCCAAAACAAGCCAATCCGTAAGAACCCCAACACTCTATGTGACTAGATCCCCCCAGTGTGCAGTCTGCGACTGTGGTGGACCCACTGTGCACCCCTGACTCTCTCCCCCCCGTTGCCCCTGCTTGCCCTTTGCCCCTGCTTGCCGAGAACCGATTAAAACAAAACAAAAAACAAACAAACAAAAAAAGAAGCAACAAGCAACAAGCCAAAAACTAGCCAACAAGCAGCTAACAAGCCAATTAAGCCAAAAACAAGCCCAATTTCTGTGTTTTTTCATGAGTTTGGCATGTCAGATAACAGCTAATTTAATAAGAAATCGCAATTTATTCTTTTTTATTTTATTTTTTTTAATTAAAATCACACAGAGCCTTGGCACCAGTTCCCCTATTTGCCCAGCCTCTGTGGTAGTGATTTATTGCTGCTACAGGCCAGCAATGAATTCCTTTACTAGCTCCTCCATTCCCCCAGAGCAAGGAGGACACAGAGGAAGAACTGTGACTCAGGGATGCAGGGCCATCCCTAGCTATTCTGGGGCCCTATGCAGCCCCCCCGGAGGGGAGAGGTGGGGGGCCCCCATGCCTCCGTGGGGAGAGGGAGTGGGCTTGGGGGACAGGGAGGAACTGCCCGCCCGCACTCACCGGCAGCTGGGGCCGGGTCACTGCACTTCCCGCCGCCAGTGAGTGCAGGCAAAGCCCTGCTGCAGGCCTCAGGGGAGTGTGGGGGGGCTGGGACGGAGCAGGAAGGGGCGGAGTGGGGCCATGGGGCCACAGCAGGGGTGGGCCATGGGGAAGAGACGGGGCAGGGGCTGGAGCAGCACACAGCTGCGTAGGGCACCAGGAAATTTACCAAATTTCCTTGGTGCCCTACGCAGCTGTACTTTGCATCTGAGTAGGGACGGCCCTGCAGGCATGTGTCTCTGGGCCACACCACCTGACGGGGCTACTCCTGGGTTGGTAGTCCTTACTCTGGCTTGTGCCTAAAGTCACAATCCAGCTATGAGATACCATAGTTGACTCCCAGAAATAACTTTATGTTTGCCAGGAAGTAGTTGTGAGCAAATGTTGATTTTTAACAATGACCATGGCATGTAAATACATATTCTCTGTATAAAAGCCATACAACAGGATCTTTACTTTTCCAGTAAGGTCAGGGTGCACTGTGATAGCAGAGTTTGTATTTTGTGCAACTTTGGCTGACGTCTGAGGTTCCATCCAAGCAGCTATATTTTCATATTCAGCGAGTTTCTCAGAAATATCTGAAGGCAGAGGATCCTTTTTGGAAACACCACCAGCAGGTACCATGCTCGTGTCCTCTAAGGATTGTTTCTCTTCCCCTCCCTGGATTAGATCTATGTTGTATAGATTCTTGTTGGATGGTCGGAAATCATTTGAGGAATCTTCACCAACACCCTGTTAAACAGAATCAGGAATAGTGAGAAAAAAAATTAATGATCTTACATAGTTAGGGCTTACCAAATTAACAGTCATAAAAAACGCATCACGGACTGTGAAATCTGGTCTCCCCAGGTGAAATCTGGTCTTTTGTGTTCTTTTACCCTATACTATACAGATTTTACGGGGGAGACCATCGCTTCTCACATTGGGGGTCCTGACCCAAAAGGCAGTTGCAGCAGGGTTGCAAGGTTATTTTAGGGGGTTGCAAGATTATTTTAGGTACAGTAACTCCTCACTTAAAGTCATCCCGGTTAACACTGTTTTGTTGTTACGTTGCTGATCTATTAAGGAACATGCTTGTTTAAAGCTGTGCAATGCTCCCTTATAACGTTGTTTGGCAGCCGCGTGCTTTGTCCGCTGCTTGCAGAAAGAGCAGCCATTGGAGCTAGCTGGTGGGGGCTTGGAACCAGGGCGGACCAGCAGCCCCCACATCGGCTCCCCACTCCCCTAAGTTCCCTGTGTGGCAGCTGCCCAGCAGGCTATCAATTGCCAGCAGTTCAGCTGTCCCTCCTGCCACTGCCAACGTGCTGCTCCTGCCCTCTGCCTTGAAGCTGCTCCCGGGAGCCTCCTGCTTGCTGTGCGGGGGGTGGTATGGGGGAGAAGGTGTCCCCCTCCCCCTCGCTCCTTTACACCATACACAGAGCAGGGCAGGGGGGACGACAGGGCTCAGGGAGCTTGCTGGCATCAGCTGATGTCTCAACATGCTGATCTATTTAAAAAGGCAATTTACTTAGAGTGAGGTCAGCATACTTAAAGGGGCAATGCACATCTCCCTCACACACAAGGTGTGTGTCTGTCTCTGCCATGCTGTCTTCCCTCCCATTCATGCTGCCTTGTAGAGTGTGAGGCTACATTAACAACTTGTTAACCCTTGAGGGCTCAGCCGAGTGCAGCGGCTCTGTCTGCAGATCTGGCTCCTGGCCAGCAGCTGCCGTTCTCCAGCTGCCCAGCTCTGAAGGCGGTGCCACCACCAGCAGCAGTGCTGAAATAAGGGTAGCAGTACCATAACACTCCTTACAATAACCTTGCAAAAAAAAAACCACACAACTCTTTTTTGGGTCAGGACCCCTACAACTACAACTCCATGCAATTTCAGATTTAAATAGCTGAAAACATGAAATTTAATATTTTTAAATTCCTACGACTGTGAAATTGACTAAAATGGACTGTGAATTTGGTAAGGCCCTGTGTATAGTATTGTTAAAATGCATATTTTATGCTAAATATGTTAAACTGAAGCTAAAGCTTATAGAACTCTGTTAAGAACAACTACTTATTATCAAATACAATACAGTGTCTTCACAGATCACAGAGTCATTTTACTATAAGAAGATTTTCTTTTATAAAAAATGTCTTATTTTGTTGCATCTTTTCTACTATTAAAATAGTTATGGCAGAAAATATTTACAGGCCAGATCCTCAGCTGGCATAAACTGGCATAGCTCTAGGGACATTTTTACATCAATATTTATATGCTTATTATGCAACCAGGCATACTTGCAGTAGGTGGACGTGGAATATAAAACACCAGAAGATCCAATGCTGAACGAACAAGTGTGGATGTTTTCAAGTTTGCCAAGCTTTGTTTAATAATCCACATTTTTTATTTAAAAGCGAGATCAAGCAGCATTTACTTCAAATTTCACTGACCTGGGCTGCATTACCACACAAAATCTTTTTATACAAGATTGGCTAAATTTTTAAACTTGACTAGTGGTTTTGGATGTCTTGATTTTTGGATGCACAGTTTATAACACCTTAAAGGGCCTGGTTTTAGCAGTTCCTAAAAATCAGGCCCTTTAGAGTTGCAAACTGGCATGCAAATCCCTAGTCATTTTTGAAAATGCAGGCTACTCCCTACTGTTAAACTACGTATCAAAGACATTAAAGCATTTTCCTTCAACATCAGAAATAGTGCGCAATTTCTCTTATTCCATCTCTTTCCTTCTTCATTACAGTTACAAGAACTCTCCCCTCCATTAATTCTCCCACACTGCTCTCACATATCCCCTATTCCTCTTTCAAATATCACTCATTTTCTATAAGGCACACCTTTAGAACTCAAAGTGCACAGCAAGCAGTAGTGTTGTGTGACATTTTACATCAGAAGGCATTAACATTTATTTTCACTGGCTTTTTAGATGTTCTGCTTGCTCCTAGTCCCATCATCATGTGTGAGCAATTGCACAAGCAGTACAGCAGATGTGAAGGCATCAGTTCTCACTGATGTCAGTGAAAGGTTTTTTTCATTGATTTCAATGGGAGCTGGATCAATCCCTCTAAGAGTAAATATTGTGTTAAAGGTGGAAATGGCAGCCGTCTTTCAAGCATGCAGATGATGACTAAATAGATTAGGGTTCCTGGTTTGTGTTCTGTAAATGGTAGGAGGTGATTTTATTTTTATTGCACCATGGTGATTAGAAGGATTTAGGCTTTTATCTCTTCAAATGTAACTTAGATGGAATACTCAAATGTGGGCCTGTTTTGATGACTATCCAGTGAAGACTGTCATCTGATATAGTTTATTTGTGCATATTTATCTTTTTCTCCCTTCTGTGTATCTACTGCATTGAATACTAGTACACTGAAAAGCATAGCCATGCATGGACATATGGGTGGGCATTGGCTAGGTGGTTGAGTGTAGCTACCATATTTCAGTGCAGGTATTCTCCTTTTTATATTATATTCTCTTCCAGTTATATATATATATCTGGAAGAGAATGCTGTAAGTCTTAACACACAAACTGAGAATTCACATGGTCTTCAGGAAGAAAGAAGTAACTTCTTTTAGACTGTCATTGACTTCAATTCATGGTACAGATATGGCCCATTTCATGGTACAAGGATGGGAAAGCTACATCAGACATGGTCTGTTCATGTTTATTCTCCTGATGATGCTATTTCTGCTGCCTGAAAAACTTTAGGTTCTATATTTTAGTGCATATGCAGCTACAAATGAATTAAACTGGTTCCACTCCCCACATTTTTTGTTACTCTGTAAGAGTGGTCAATGCTTTAAACTTTGCTAATTATATTTTATTTATTTGAGGAAAATGCATCAGATTATTTTGATTTAAAACATTTTTCTTCACTTATTTTGAAAACAATAAAGCTCTCAAAAGCTTGTATTCCAGTGACCTATCATATGAGATGCACTTTCCAAATGGCCAGACACACCCAATTTCACTGTTTCTCATAATGCCTATAGCATACACTTCTTTGGGTTGTACTGCATCAGCCACTTGTTTCACAGGTCTCCTTGTTAACACTAGCTTCTCCACTGCCTTTCACCAGGTGTAGCTGTTTACACTTTTGCAGAGAGTTGAAAGGGCTACAAGAATAGAACATTAACATTTTACACCCACTGTGCACTGATGTAAATATCTGCACAAGGAGCCAGGCAGTGGAGAATCAGACCTATAAATTTTAAAAGCTCCAACAAAAACGGACTTTAAAAAAATGCAGAAAAAAATGAAGACTTCAGGGAGCCCCAGCACCATGTATTCTGTAAGACCAGCTTTGTCCTGTAAAATGTATGTTTCTCAGCATGCATAGTGCATAATCCCTTTAGGTAACAATTACTAAGTTAAACAATGCAATCTGTCCCATTGGCAGAGCAAAGGTACACTCTGTTGTGGATTAGGAGATTCCATTAGGAGATGAACTCGGCTTTCAGTCCCATGGATAGTAAAGGCTGAACACATTCCAGAAGGGATAAAGCCAGCCACTGAGTCTCAGGTGTGGAGGAAGATGCAGCAGCTGCTCTATTCAAGATTACACACTGCAAACCATCCAAGAAAACTACATGGTGTCGCCTGCAAAGATGATGACAGGTCTACCTTGAATACTTGAAGAAACACACTGGAAAAGTCCTGGCTAAAAAAAATTAATAGTTTGCCAAGAAAACAAGAAAAAGCAATGACTGAGAGAAACAAAAAAGGCACCATCAATATACAAAAGCAATTCAATATGGGTATGTGAATGGCACAAAAATAAAAAATCATTTTTATATTTCTTAGGAACTTGTTCTTTGCTGATTGAGTTTAACTGCTAATGGAATCTCAATCAGCAATTAATTACAACATCAGTCGTCTCAGGAATATAGTAAATTAATATAATTCTAACAATACCATGATAAGATATGCTGAAAAGGAGGCTTACTTTTGCTTTTATGCCTAAACTATTGTACCTGTAGTAGAATGCAATTTTTCTGTGTACAGCCATTTATGTAGCCAGTCTTTAATATGCTCTGAAATTTAATAACAATTTACATTTTTGTAGCAGACTACTCGGCACAAATTTGATGGTACAAATTGTCTCCAAATAGGTTAACTTTCTGGTGATACAAAATACAATCAAAGCTTTGAACCTTCTATCTCCTTCTCTCTCTGACATACAAGTCTGAAAGGTATCCAATCAACATTACCTAAATGAAATTGCACTTTAATCTGATAATGAACCTATGAGCAGATGGAACTGTGGCAACATAATGCCTCTATATTTAATACAGCAGCTAAACATAAATATTGAGTTTTTTATACTTATAATCAAGGTCTGCCATCAATACAATTATATTTTCTTTTTACCTTGGGAGTTGATGATGGAAGAGAGAGGCTATAGTTCAGACCATCACTACAGCTACTGCCGTGCAGAGCTAACACAGAAGCCTGGAAGGTGTCATCATTGTCTGAAGTATACTGTGATTCAAAGGTGGATTCATCCGCTAGATCTGCCTCACTTGAGTCCACCTAATAACAAAGGCAATTTAATCAGGCTATCTGCTATCTTCAGACCACATAAGCCCCAAACACTTGCACATGTGTGGCTAAATCCTTGCTGGTACTTTGCTTAATATTTTTCTGTTTCTCTGTTTTATACAAAATCTTCTATACACAGTGGGCCAAATTCCACATGCAATTACACCTATGTAATCCAAAACTGAATAAAGGTTGCACAGATGTATCTGAAAGCCAAACTTGGCTCTGAGTTTTTGCAAATACTTCAGAGCAGAGATGGGCTAATGGCCATGACCACTGATATTAGACAGTGGGAAAATGCTGCTTTATCCCATGCCGTCAACAAATCCCTGAGACTTTTTTTTGTCTTCCTGGGTGAATAAATGCTACAAAAATGGGAATTTTCACTTACTGCCATATTTTAGGGACAAATTAATTTCCCTCCACCTATAGATTGTTTAAATGGGCTTGGTGGGTTTTAAAAGGTACAGATTTTTTTTAAAGGTACAGAAATATTTTAATAATACAAACGTCTGGGGTTTTAGACCCTTTACTTTGTTCCCATATTTCCAAATTAGCTTGTATTATTAAAAAGGTTTGTAAGCTGCTATCTTTTAATGTGAGATAGTAACTAATATGACAGATAGTGAGGTTTAAAAATCATGTACTATATGCATGTACAATCGCTACAATTTCATAAGGCTTCTAATACGCATATACTGTGGCAGCTGTTTTATACTGTACTTTATCATTTATATACTCTGTTCCTGATTCTAATCTAATTCACATAAATGTAAATCAGGAATTACACTAGTGTAAAACAGGTGTATACCAGAATCATACCTACACTGTCAACTCCAAAAGAAGCAAATAAAGCCAACTCTGTCGATAATCCACAGATTAAGACCCTTCTAAATACAGCTGGTAACACAGCTCATAATACTATATTTTATTTTATATGGTTAATCATATTATTAATTAGTAATTTCAGATTTCCAATTATGATAATTGTCACAATGGACTTTAATGGCTCAAAAGGATTGATTTCTTCTATTGCATCAATGACCATGGATTAGAGCAATATCTTTTATATTTCCACTGAGACCCCTGTACTCATGCAAATGGACCTCTGTCATAACAGACTCAATTTTATCAAAGGTGTGTGTGTGTGTAAAAAAAAAAAAAGGTGCTACCTTGCGTCCCTACACAATTTCAGAGTAAATGTTTACATTCAGTCTTCAACTGACTCGGTTGTGCTTACGTACAACAGCACATGCAATATGCTCTTCTGCTAGGTAGATTATGCTCCAAAATATACAACATAACATACCTAACTCAGACTCCTGAAATACATGTTGCTAGGCCACAACAGGCCAGATGAAGGATGTCAAAGACTTTCCTCTGAATTTTTAAAAATGCATGCGGAAAACCTACAGGCCGAATCCTGAGCTTATAACTTAGTTTTAACTCAGGCTCTTTTAAAAAGTGTACTGAGTCCCATTTTCAAAAGTGATTTAAGCATTTAAGGGTCAGATTTTTAAGGGTATTTAGGCACCTATCTCCCACTTCAATTGGAGTAAGATGCCTAAATATCCTTAAAAATCTGGACCTTAGGAACCCAAATCCAATTGACTACCAAGGAGATTTAGGCACCTTAGGAAGCTAAGTCACTTAGGTGTTTTGGAGAATTTTACCTTTAGTCCATATTCAGGCAAATTTAGACTGAAGTCTAAACTGCCTGAATAAGGATTGAGTAAAGTGTATAAGGACTTCAGGATTTGGCCCTATATTTGTAAATGGAAAACAAGAAACTGCATATACTTTGCAGTCTCCGAGTCTTGAATTTGTAACTGCACAAGCAAATTCCCATTTCGCAGATACAATTTAGACACCCAATTATGAAATTTTAAATATTATAATTATTTCATTTTTTGTATTGTTATTAATATATCAGCATTATTTTCAAACATTTTTCACATTCCAAGTCCAGAAAGGACCTCTGTAATCATCTTTCTGACCTTCAGTACAATACACGCCATAGAACTTCTTCCAAATAATTACTACAGCAGATCTTTAAGAAAAACATGCAATCTTGATTAAACAATTGTCAGCCATGGAGAATCCATTTTGACACTTGGTAAATTGTTCCAATTGTTAATTACTCTCAGTGTCAAAAATTTCCTTTTTATTTCCTGTCTGAATTTATCTTGCTTCAACTTCTAGCCATTGGATCATGACTTACCATTCTCTGCTAGATTGAAGAGCCCATTATTAAATATTTGTTCCCCCTGTAGATACTCAAGACTATAATCAAGTTACCCCTTAACCTTCTCTTTGTTAAACTAAATTGATAGACTCAAAGAGCTCAATCTATCACTATAACATGTTTTTCCTAATCCTTTATTCATTCTCCAGACTCTTCTCTGAACCCTCTCAAATTTATCAACATCCTTGAAATGTGAGCACCTGAGCTGCATGGGCAAAATCTGTGGGCCAAATTCAGAGCTCAGTTTTTACTCAATCCTTACTCAAGCAAACTAACAATAAAGGAAATTTCTCACCCACAACCTAGTTTCTCTTTGATGTATCAATAAAGTCATAATCTTGTCAGGAAAATAATTGTGATATTATAAATACTGTACCATGACAGCAAAGCAAGACTGAACAGGAAGAGGATATTGACAGTGGGATTTAACGACATTGATAGAAAAAAGCACTTTTGTAATTCACAAACAAGCTAAGAAAAAGCTATGACAAACACATGGAAGGATTTAATTCTCCTATTCAACAGTTTTTTTTCTGTATGAAACATCCTCTTTAAGGATGCTGACAATTGTTTATAAATTTAACTTAAACTTCTCAACTCATATCTACATCAAAATATGACTTCAATGGGAGCTGGTACTCAATATTTCTTAGTAAGTGCTCAACATCATGCAAGTTCAGGACCCAGGTCTGTGCAAATAAAGAGAAGAATACATTAAAAGTCTGGACTCCTATTGGCAGTTTTTCGAAATGCATAAAAGTATCTACACTTCATGCAAGTTGCTTGCACTGTGAAAATCCATAGCTTTTATACTCTCAAATCTTGCGATCACTAATAAAAAAGAAATGCAGGCAACTTCTAAATAAAGTTGAACAGCAAGAATGTCATTAAAAGGCAAAACAGAGTTCCACTGACTTTTCAAACATTGTCACATGTTGGTAAATAGAAGTTTCTACTATGTAATTAAATAAAAGCTTATGTACAAAGGGCAAGGTTTTTCGAAGCCACCTATGAAGTCTGAATGCCCAGTGCCCATCATTACAATTGGAACTGGGCATACAAATCTCTTAGCTGGCTTTGAAAAAAATCTCAGCCAAATATTTTCTTATTTTCCAGTAGCTAAAACATTCCAACCAGATACTCAGCTGGTGCAAACTGGTGGAGCTCTATTGATTTCAATGGATCTATGCCAGTTTACAGCATCTGGATATCTGGCGAGATCATGATAGGTCATACGTGCAGTGAGGCTAAACGCTTTAAAAAAATCATAAGCAGAGTGATGAAAAAGACTTTTCATTACATTTGGACAAGGCAAAAAACAATGTTAAAAAGGTTTTAACAGAAATCTTGGTAAGTTGTGCCCACTAACCAGAGCCAGCTCAGCATGGAAGAGGGCTGCATCAACTGGCCCTTCCTCCTCAAGTGACTGGGCAGTGTAGAAAAAGGGATCTTCCTTAGCAGAAATATAACCCTCTTCTGGTGAAAGCTGCAGAAAGAATGAAGCTCTGAGTTGGATGAGTGGCCAGTATACAGGACATGCAGAGTCAGTAATGTTAAGGGAGTTTTAGAAATGCAAATAAATACCAAGTACAGAAGTGAGATTATCTCAATCAAAATTATAGTGTGAGGTAAATAAAATGATATATATTTTAACCTTCTCATGTTGTTTTACCTGCTGTAGTAATGAAACATTGGGATAGCCAACATTAGTGTCTAAAGATACATGTACATGTAAGTCTAATGCTTCTGTATTTTTTGCCCATAATTAAACATTTACTAAAACAGTCATCATATGGTCCACCCAGGGGTACAGAGCCCAGAATTTTAATCACTGAAACAATAGGCCTCTACTACTAGAGCTAAAGGAGTAACTGTTAGCTGGTAGCAGTAGTGAGCTCTTATCCTCTATGTAGGCCAGCCACTAGAGGACGACAAAAGTCAGCATGGCACAGATGCATCAATTTTTTTCCATGTAATTTGCTGCTGCTGCTAGGTGCATCTGTCGAACACCCCCATAGAGCAAAATATTATTTCTAGTGTGGCAGAACTCAGCCAGTGTAACGTGTTAAATATTTAATGCTGAAGCTTTATACAAAGCCAGAGAAAAGTAACATTTAATCATGCCTCATCCTCTTTCATGCTTTAAACAAGATATTAATTCTGAAAAAATGTGTTTTGCAAGAAACATTACTGTGCAACATGCAGCATTCTTTCTAATCTGCAAAAGTTTCTTACAGGAAACAAGTTAAAAATATCTCTTTCAATGAAAAAAAACAAAACAAAATTCCTAGCACATTTTGTATTATTAAAGGGTTACCTCCTAAGAGCCAGAATCTGAAATCAAGGAGAATTCTGTGCAGGAAAGGACTGTGGGAATGTAACATTCCAGAGAGAGAAAAAAATTACTCAGTCTTAAAAATAAAATGGGCCAGATCCTCAGATGGTGGAAATTGGTGCAGCGCCACTGATTCCAACTTAAACCAGAGGAGATCCGGCCCAATATTTTGCTTTTACTCTGTAATTATTCAAAGAAGCATTATCCCGAAGGTTTCCCTGGTTAGTGAGGAAGGGCACATGGTTCTATGAGCTCTGGCTTCTATTCATGTCTCTCTATGTGGTCTTGAGCAAGCTATTTACTCTCTTAGTAGTGCTTTAATTTCTCTCTCTCTAAAAAGTGGGTAATCTTGCTTAACGAAGAAGGATCATTTGAGGTTTAATTAATGTTTGCAAAGTGTTTTGAATTCATCGTTCAAATTAGGACCTCCCAGCCAGAGTGCACAGAAGTGAATTAATAACAGATAACATTACAGTTATAGGTCAGTAACTGCACAACATCCTCACACTCCAATTAGCTGAAACACTATACCATTTCAGTATAACTATTAGGTTTACACTGGATGAACTCAAGTGTACACATTTTTAACATAAAGAGCATAATCTAAATATGTTTGATATTAAATAGCTATATGTTTCAGTAAGTCCTGACTAACACCAGAGTTAGCACTGCTCTGGAAAGGTGACATAAGGTTGGCTTTAAACCACCTTCACATAACCTCCTATCTGAGACCATCCTCAGGACAATGCTAAGTTATGCCTCGCTACCCACAGCCCTAGGTGTCTGCATTGGTAGCTGGGATGCTCCAATCATTCCCCTTTCCCCAGCCACGCCCCATAGATAGGGGGCAGGAGTGAGGGGCTGTAGAAGTACTACACCAGCTCTGTACCACCCAGGGATTTCCCACAGGCAAGGAGAAGATTCAGTGAGTCAGCTAAAATGCCTTTTGGCAGCTTTATGCCATCTGAGTGGCACAAAGCAGTCATGGACTAAGCAAAGATATTGGCCAGCAACATATGAAAATCAATCATCTAGAGCCCAATCCTTACAGGCAGTGGTTTGGCAACTCCTATTCTAACTGCTCCTACTGGTGCTCCTTTCAGTGCTTGTACAGCTTCCTCCAGGCTGCCATTTTCCAAGTTTATATCATTGACAAACATCAGCCGATCTCCAGGAAGAAGTCTGCCATCTTGTTCAGCAACACCACCAGGAACCAATGAGCGGATTACAATTACTGTGTTTGCCGGGTCCACTGGGTCCTAATTGAAAACAAAGTGAGGAAACCAGTTCACATGCTTATTTTTAATTAATAAAACGTTATCTACCCTGTATGGGCCAGCTCCTGAGGTCCTGACTCAGTCCTTACTCAGGAAAACTCCAAATGACTCTTCAAAGTGAGCTTACTTCAGTAAGGACTCAGGACACTTAGAAAAGACCTCTGGATTTGGCCCTATTATTATTTAGTCATTTATTTTGATACATAAAAGCACGAATAATTAGTCCTCACACGCGCTTAGTGCTTTTACATCATCGAGTTTCACAGTAAAGCTTCCCAGTGTAACAAAGAATTACATGCCAGCAATTAAAACAAACACCTTCCACTGTAACAACATCTCTCCAGCCCTCAACCTTCCACATGTTCAAATGTCTGGGGATAAAAGCTTGGAAGGTTAACATATCTGGGTACTGATGGACCAAAGGGTTTATTTAGAGTCTCCTTGCAGCTCGTAGTACTTGATCTCACTCAGTCATGAAGGGACTTTATAACACTGGTCTACAATTTTTGAGAAGTCGTCTGCTTCAGAGATAAAATGTGCTATTTATTATGTATTTTGATGTGCTGAATTCAAATATGACAATTAAAACAACTGATTGGCTACTGTTTCTAAGAGACATAAATTGTAAAAACTTAAATATATGTATATTGTGTAGATAGTAGAGTTTTAATCATAAATTGTAAACCTAGGTCTTTTCATGTGTTTATGGTTGCTTTACATGATAATATTTCACCTGTCCTGTTTATGTAACACTTTAAAAATCAGCAAAAGGGTTATATAAATAAAATGTATTATGAAACAAAAGGCAAAAAACTATTATGTACATAGTTTAGTCCTATTCAATGTCTACTCAGCGCTTCTTGGCTTGTCTCTTGCATTCGTTAAATGGAACATCTCTTGTCACTGTCCAGCAATAGTCTGCAAGCATTGATGGGCTCCATTTGCCCTGATAGCATTTCTCCATTGTTGCAACGTCCTGGTGAAATCACTCGCCGTGCTCATCGCTCACTGCTCCGCAGTTCGGTGGAAAAAAATCTAGATGAGAGTGCAAAAAATGTATCTTTAGTGACATGTTGCAACCAAGGCTTTTGTATGCTTTGAGGAGGTTTTCCACCAACAACCTGTAGTTGTCTGCCTTGTTGTTTCCGAGAAAATTTATTGCC